TCCATCCTCTCCACTTTTCGCAGAAACCCATTCTTAACATCATGTATTCAATGAAGCCCCAGCATACCTTATCGTACGCCTTTTCAAAATCGACTTTAAAAATGAAGGATTTCTTCTTCTTTCTCTTTGCCTCATCAATCACCTCATTTGCAATCACGGCCCCTTCTGCTAATTATCTGCCCCTGATGAACACCATTTGATGCTCCCCGATCACCTTATCAATCACCATCCGCAGTCGGTTTGCAAGGATCTTAGCTAAGATCTTATACATGACACCAAGGAGTGATATGGGTTTGTACTCTTCAATTTTTTTGGGGGTTTTCCACTTTGGGGATCAAGACTATGAAAGAAGCGTTTGAGCCTTTAGCTATCTTGCCTTGCTCATGAAACTCCTGCACAAACTCCACAACATCTGATTTAATGTCTTCCCACATGACTTTTACAAATTTGAAGTTAAAACCATCTGGGCCTGGGGACTTTGAAGATTCACATTCCCACACTGCTTCCTTGACTTCTTTTTCAGAAAAAGCTGCAGTGAGGATGTCATTATCTGCTTCAGATATCCTCTTGAAATCAATGCCATCTAGCTTTGGTCTCTCCCATTTCTCTTCCTTAAATAGCTCCTCAAAGTATTTTGCCACCTCATTCTTTATTTCTGCCACCCCTATATGCTGGACACCATTGATGCGAATACAAAGTATTTCATTTCTTCTCCATCTTCCTTTCACACTTCTATGGAAATACTTTGTATTCGCATCCCCTTCTTTTAACCACATTTTTCTTGATTTTTGTTGCCACATGCTTTCTTTGATTTTTAAGTTCTTCCACAACTCTATGAAGCAATTTCTCCTTTGATCAATGTCCTGTGTTGATAATTGACAGATCTCTCCTCTTTCATTTATTGTGGCAATCTCCTTTTCAACTTCCATTATCTTGCTATCCACTTCTGATATTGAGTTTCTACTCCACTCCTTCAACTCTTTCTTTGTTCTCTTCAGTTTCTCCTTCAGTTTGTACCCTTTCCATCCCCTAACTATGGTAGATTTCCACACTTCCCTGATGAACTCCTTACACCCCGGTTGATCAAGCCAAGCATCAAAAAATTTGAATGGCTTTGGTCCCCAATCCATCTTCTCATTTTTCAATAAAATAGGACAGTGATCCGATACGGTTCTATTAAGGCCCCATTGTTTCATATCACCCCACTTCAAAATCCACTCCTCTATCAACAAAAATCTGTCAATTCTGCTCATGTATTTCCCATTGGAATTATACCATGTATACCTCCTCCCCACCAATGGTAAATCAATAAGCCATATATTCTGAATAAAATCATCAAATTCCTTCATTTCTCTGGTAACTTCCCTGCTTCCTGCTCTTTCTTCTATTTTTCTCACTGCATTAAAATCTCCTGCCAAGCACCACTTACCCCCCCTGTTGGTGATTAATTTCTATAAATCCTCCCATAATGCCCTTTTTCCTGCCAACTGACATGGAGAATATATATTTATTATGTGCACCTCAGTGTCATCCTCTCCCCATAAACCGCGTGCCCCCACATAATTATCTCCCTCTATCACTTCATTTTTTCTAAACACTTTTGAGTTCCATATATAGAGCAATCCTCCTGCCAATCCATTAGCTGCCTTCGCTACCCAGTCACAATCATCCGTCCCCCATAACCTTCTACAGAAACTCATATCTATATTCCCCAATTTAGTCTCTTGGATTGCCAAAAATTCAATTTTTTCTTTCATAATTAATTCTCTAACCTACCTTTTCTTCCCAACCCCTCAAAGCCCTCTACAGTTAAAGGACAACAGATTCATTTAAATTCTTTTTTACCTTCTTCGTGCTAGCTTCCTCCAGCTGCATCATGCTTGCTTTCTCCTCTTTATCTCTTTTCTCCATTTCTTCAATTCTTTTGACAATTTGTTGTTCATCCACAGCCATTACCCCTAGCTTCTTCGCAAAATCCCATAAATCTGCTAGTTGTTGCTCTTGTCTCTGTCTCTCCGCTAGTCTATTGCAATTCCTGATCTCAGTGTCTCCAACTGAAACCCCCGCTGCTCTATTACCGAAAATTGAGTTGCTCGCCGGCTTCGCCTTCTTCCCCATCTTTGCCGTCCGTTTCCTTCCTCGATTCTTCCCTCTCTGTTCGTCCACACCAACAGGTGAATCTACCTACTCTATGGAATAAATAGATCTACATGAGCGAATCTTCTTCTTTTTCTTCTTCTTCCCCGTCCGGTTCAGATCTAACCTTCTACCCATCCACTGCTTCAAACAACCCTCCTCACTTTTGAAACCTTTCCAGAATCAGTCAATGTCTTCCTCTTCTGAGATTTCGTGCTCTATTTCTTCAATTCTAGGGTATTCTTTTCTGTTGGGTCCTATTGGGCTTGTCACGGACTGGGCCGAGCTGCAGGCTGTTGTTTCCTCATCCACACTCCTTGTTTGTGACGGTTTGGGCTCTTTTCTTATCCTCTTTGTATCTTGCTTTTCCAGGCCCGTTTCTACCCCTTCTTTTTCCCAAATTTCTGCTGAATTTGCCCGTTCCCTATGCACTGTCGGAGCTAACCGTTCCCCATGCCCCTGCGTCTCTTCCAGCCGGCCTACTCTACCTGCTCCTGTGTTTGAATTTTGAAATTTCTCCAAGCTGTCTGCAGCCACTTCCTCTTCTTGTGATTGATGCTTATTTTCGTTTATAGCCCTTACACCCGCCACCTCATCATCTTCCTCCCCTACATCTAAATTTTGTTCTACAGCCGGCTCTTTGACTTTTCTAAATCCATCTTCCATGCTGTCCATGTCCGTATCCCATGACCAGGATTCATTTTCCTCCGACCCACTGTGGAATGATGGCAAGAAATCTTGCTTTAAAGAGAAGAAATTGTTGGTAAATTCTTCCTCTTTAAATTTAACATTGTAAAGGATGCCATTAATTTTGATTTGGCGTGTGACTGAGATTGAATCCATAATTTGGGTTGAGATCAATAATCTGGCTACATCGAATCTTCTTTTGTTGCTTGTGCTGTCATCCAAGCAGATGAATTTCCCCCAAGTACTTCCCATTTTTTCAAAGAAATCACTCGTCCAAGCATTTAGGGGTGCCCCATGACACTTGATCCACACAAACCTTTCTTAAGCAACCAATTCTGGTGACCACGGTTTAATTTCATTAAACCATTGTGCAAGCCATTCAGCAGCCATTTCTACCAGATCCTTTAGCTCTTCTTTTTCTTCACAATCCAACAAAACCATTTTGCCCCCCATTGCACGAACTCTACAATAGAAATACCCCTCCATGTAGAATTTCTCTTGCAAATTCCTGACCATTTCTACTGAGTGTACTGTCCCCACATAGCAACCCTCAAGCCATGCAAATTCTTCTTCTTTAATATTGTATTCCATTCCAGTCCAGCTTGCTCCTTTTCCTTTCTCTTTCCATACTTTTCTGATTTCTGCTATCCCAAAACTTTCTCTTTTCCTGTTCTCATTTTTTTTCCTGCGGCTCTGTTCTGTACTGCCCCTTGTTCGCTCCTTCCACATTTCCAGCTCCATATCCTCTTACTATCTTAGCATAGCTTCTGTTCTGATACTTTGGAATTAATCCTTGCCCTTTTCCTTCCTTCTTTTCTTCCTTCTTCACATCATCGTATCTTGGAGAGTTGACCCATAGCTTCCAGTCTCCAACCCATATCTAATCAAGTTGTCTCTCTAGTTCTCTTTTGTCATGCACATTGAGAAACCTGACAAACCCAAACCTTGCCCCGCTCCTACTTTTCCTGTTTGGACTGTATATATCATATACCCATCCAAATTTTAGAAATGTTCTCCACATATCTGCATAGTTCCACTCTTCAGGAAAATTTGTGAAGAAATAAGGGGTGGTTTGTTTATACAGCCCCTTATCATAGAATCCCCACTTTTGCATCCTGCTGTTCTTTTGATGCCCTTGTTCCCCCTGTTTCTGATTGATTGACTCCTGGCCTCTCCATTGTCTTCCTCCTCTGGATGATGCATCCTTCCGATTCCATGTTGTCCGTGTTGCACGTGTTCTCTGTCTTCCTCCTGTTCCTCTCTCTCTCAGTTTTTTCTTATCTATTAGTTATTCATGGCTTCACATTATACTCATTATTGTTAATTAATTTTCTATTGGAAATTCCTTCTATTAATTCATACTCCCTAATTTCTAAAGAAAGACGAAGAAATTGTGATGAGTTTGATCTAATTATCCAAGTATTATTTTTTTTTTTTGGTGTTAACGATTACCAAAATATCATGAATGAAATGATAATGCAATTAAAAATATTAAAAGATGTGATGCTAAGATATAAACATAATAACTTAGCGAAAGATGTTTTTGAAAGAGCAATTTATCATTAAAAAAATGGCTTAAACTACTTGATAATGTTTTAAGATGATTACAGAATTAAAACTTTATTTTCCAAGAAATTTAAATATTTTACGTCTAATATTGTTATTTTTAATCAACTTATTATTATTTATAACTTTATGATTTTTTTTCTTGATTTAATTATTTGTGGTTGAGACTATAAAATACTTAGTTCTAATGAATCACAATATTTTAATTAAATTTAGATATATATAATTTTATTATATACAAATAAAATTGATAAAAAATAATTATAAAAAATGAAAATAAAGTCAATCCATAATCCGTTAGGGTCAGATTAGGGTTGAACTTTTCCAATTTATAACCCGTTTGTGACCCAACCCGTATAACCAATTAATCGAGTTGACACAATCCAAACCCGACCCAACCCACCCATTTACCAAGTCTACTTACAACCAATAATCAACAGTATACATACTCTTTCCATAATCAACTACTTTACGATTTGGCCGGGTTAGTTTAGTTATTATGGTAGAACCAATAGATGATAATTAATATTTAATTAATGAGATTTTTTTATATTTATAATTCAAAAGTTGTTATTCATTTGAATAGAGAAAACAACTATTAATTGTTTTCCAACAATTAAACCAAGTAAGTGGTTAGAAAGAGAAGTTAATCAATTATATAGCCAACTGTTTTTTACCAAATTTGGAAAAACAACCATGGGACAACTTTTCCGGAAAGTTTGCCCTAACCAAATAGTAATACGTTTTCCTTCCCATACAGGTTTTGGATTGGAATTTCCGATGGGGAAGATTGATTGAGCTTCCCAAGGGGATAATTACATGAGGACAACTTCTTTGAATAATTTTTTAATATAATTTTTATATATTATTAAATTATTAGATATGTATAATATTACAAATTTTAATAGAATAAAAAAATTAATTTTTTAATAAATATAAAATTATCTGAAAAAATTATACAAAAATATTATCTTTTAATAATTATTTCTCATGAAGGGGTAAAAATTAAATCGTTGTTGTTTTCTATTTTACTATATATAGTGGCGACATGATAGAAAGATTTCTTTCATTGTGGATAACAACAAATGGCTCCAATATTTGCCAGTATCTCAGTACTTCTATACATATCCTTGAAAGAAAAAATTGTCCAAAGTGCAAGAATAGAAATCATGCACCACAAGGCCTTGTAATTTGTACCGTAGTTGTTTGTAATTTGTCCTAGGAAAAACTCATTGTAATTTGTAAATTGACGATGATGTACTGCTCATTACGCGTTTACCAAAAATAGAAATCATGCACTGCACCAAGATGAAGAAACAAACTTATCTACCTGTGCCGAAGTGCAAGAATAAGAATGTACATGCACTTAGGTGAATACAAACGGTTACGAATTCAAGATCTTTAAGGTACATAGGAAGAAGACAAAAGGTTTTATCCTAAATCAAATTAAAGTCTTTTAAACATGTGTGATTTCTAAATCAAATTACAAACTGAATTGATAATAAATGTATAATCGGTTACAAAATATTTAATAAATATTTTTATTAAAATATTTCTAAGGGTAAGGATAATTTTTTTTACAATATTTTATTTGATTTTCACATATCATTTAATGAGTGTATATATTTTCCAAGTCTCAAATGAATAAAAAAAATAATCATTTAAATAATACATAAAGTTGTATCAAAAGATAATATAAATAAGTTGTTCTTGAATCATTTTTTGTGAATAAATACATAATAGGCTAAACAAATTTTTTATTAAAATATTTCAATACCTTATACCTTTTATATATATGATAATGCTATAATTATAATTTTATGTAATATTATAAATTTACAACTATGACATGACATTAAATGAGTATGAAGAGATATTAGACAAGTA